ACACTGCAGTCTTCTTCGTTGGACAACACCTGGTTCTTGCTGCTGCCTTCCTCCTGGATATAAAAATCCTTCAAAGTGGCAGCACCACTAGACTTTTGTGTGTGTCTGCATTAATTTACAGTCTTCAGGTCACCTCAAACAACTGTATACTCCATTTAGGACAGAGCAGTGGGTCGAGCACTCCAAATTGTATCGGCAGCAACGGCGCAGGCAGGAAATCTTCATTATATTGTTGAGGGGGCTCAGGAGACAGTACACTGCAGCGTTTTCTAAGAGGTGGTTCCTCTCACTGCAATGTGAACTAGTGAGAAGTGTACATTGCAGAGAACAAAGGAAAAATCCCTGACGTAAAATGAATGCAGTTAGTAAAAGATACCACTGCTTCAGTGCATCTCATTGACCCTGTCAGTACAGGCTGATTACTCTACTTCTGTACTGTAAAACTGCGGCAGTAACTGGGACACATTTGAAGCTTTTTTTTCAATCCTGTTCCATCTGCTGGATTTGCTGACCCAATACAAGTGGACTGTAACTGTGAATTTCAACTAATATCTCACAGCACGTGAGACATTAGTTGAATTTGTCCTGTGAATCAAATATCATTTTGTCTCTTTAAAATGGACTGTAGTTTCATTTTTTTGCTTCAATTCAATGAACATTGTGCTGCTCCTTCTCGAGTACGTGCCTTGGCCACCTGGGGGCAGTATAATATATATATATATATATATATATATATGTGTGTGTGTGTGTGTGTGTGTGAGCCTATCCCAGACCCCAAAAATGTCACGTTTGGTCAACCACTGACATTACTTTGTAGAAGAGCGCAATCAATTTTCAATGCTTTAAATTGGTCAGTAATTTGAAAAAAATAACACCTGCAGGTGGGACTGATTAATAATATGGATTTGTGAAAAAATATGAAAACTGACTCAATTGGGACATAGGAGGTTCTGGCCCAACACCAGCGATATACAGTAGAAGGTCCAATATGTTCAGTAAACAGCGGTAATATTAGCCGTCCTTCATAGAGGATAAAGAATATATGCCTGATAGGAGTGTTACAATGTCTGTATCGATATGTTGCTCCATAATTTGTCTTCAAATATCTGTTGCTTAAAAGGCCAGAACACAATGACACCAATGCTATATGTTAGCTTGTCTATTGTGTTGTGCATTGTTTGCATGAACTGAACAGACTTTTAATTTAGCGGACATTGATAATGATATGTTCAGTCCGAACATGAAATTCTGCATTGCCCCAGCCGTCTCACGTATATTTGTTCGCAGGGGGACAACATGTGCTTAGAGCGGAGAAGAGGAGGGGCTCCTGTTTCACCTCTGACAGAAAAAAAAAAAATGTTTGAACATTGTTAGTGAATTAGGTGGTCGGTGGTTGTGTTACTTTAGCTGCTACTGAATGTTCTCTTGGATGACAGTCAGCTGTAAACAATACGCTCACCAACAAGCCAACTTCCTCACTCCCCATTCTGCATGCCATCTCCTTTTTGGCTCAGTCCCAGCAGGAATTGTTTGCTTGCTTTGTTGTATACATCTTGGTGCGAACTGACCAGCTGTGTGTTTGTTTGTGCTTCTGCTACTGTTCGAGTTATGTAGTAAGTTATTGACAGCTGGCCGTGTTGCAGAGCTCTGTGTGTCTACAGACTGCTATTTGTTTCTTCCTCCATTGTTTTTGAATCTTGACTCAAAAATCACTTGTACGACACTGTTTGTGACATCGCACATTCTAGAAGCTGAATGGCTTCCGATATGCAATTTGTTATAGAAGTTAAATTTTTCCAACTTGAGCGAATGGCTGACTGTCTGAATTTTCGGTGCAAACGCATCATCCACACTGCCATCTTGTGGCATCTATCGGCAATTACAAGCCCTTTTAAGGGAGTGCGTCGATTGCACGTGAATTTTTGCTCTTGGCGACCGGGCTGCGCCATTATCCCCCACTAGTACCATGGTTCATCCAGTATATACATTGATGTTACACTGACATCTAGGCATTTATCGGCATATACATATAAATTAACCCAACCTCAGCCACTATTCTAGCTTCTATTCTATGCGCCTTATAATATGGTGCGCCTTGTATATGAAAACAGTTTTAAAATAGGAGATTCATTGAAAGTGCACCTTATACTCCAAAGCACCTTTATCGTGCGGAAAAATACGGTAATATTCTTGTGACAATCTGTAACTAGGCTCATAGAGTGGGGTGGGCCTCCCTGAGGGTGCACGGTGCGATATTGCTAGTTGTGGGGGTAAAGTGTAATTGCACTTCCACTACAGTACGAAACAGTGGCGCTCTCATTGGCAGTGTGCGCAGGGAGTATAAGCTCTAAGTCAGGTGTTACCAACTCAGGTCCTCGAGGGCCCCGATCCACAATATTTTAGATGCTTCCCTCCTCCAACGCACCTGATTCAAAGGTTCAGGATTGCTTTCATGCTTTGGCAGAGCTTGCTAATGATCTGATCATTTGAATTAGGTGTGTTGGAGGAGGAAAGCATCTACAACATTATGGATCGGAGCCCTCGACGACCTGAGTTGGTGACCCCTGCTCTAAGGTAAACCCACACCCAACAGCAGAGAGCAGCCTAAAACCTGAAGAGACACCAGGGAAAAATGTTTAACAGGGATGAAACGGAATTCATCGAGAAAATAGAAAACAACGTTGATAAGTCAAGTAGTCAAGTACAACTTTATTGTCAAATGTGCTGCAACATACAGCACAGATGAAATTTCGTCCCTCTCAACCAGACAACAAGAAGAGTATAATACTAATTAAGTTATTCTTTTTTTAAGTTGATCTATATTTATTTATTTTTGTCCTTTAATATTAGCAAGAATACCATGTTACGCATTGGTGCACTTATAACAATTTTAGAAACAAATGATACTATTCATAGTTGTGGTAGTGAGTTGAGGGGGACGTGAAATATTTTAATACCAGTACTAACATTTCTAATAATAATACATCAGAGTTTAGTTTTAAAACCTGTTTCTTCCTTACTCGTGATCGATTTTTTAGTCCAGACCCCAATTTGGGAAATCCCTCTACTAATAAGCTATTGGATAACAGAGAGTCGTCCTTGGAGAAATCAGCATTTTCAGGTCAAAGAGGTGATTAGGACTCAACTGTAATCACAGTAGATCTTAGTGTTCATTGAACACCTGTTACAAAGTGTAAGAACAAGTAGTAAGACAAATCATGAACCTTAGCTTTTACTGATTATAAATCATAAATTTTATCACTTGTGGTCTTCGGACTTCTCCAGCCTTTTGTGTTGTGATAAGATCGCAAGATACAATGGCCTTTTTATTTTTATTTTTTTAAATACAGAAGCTTTTTATGCAGCCCTTGACCGCTATAACATTTATAATTTATTAATTTGATTGAGCAACAGCAATTCTAAAAACAGAACTAAAGATGATGCTGGTGTTATTTGTACTTCATTAGAAATGATCATAACAGCTTTTATCCAAGAAAAAAAAATACATTCAAAAAAACAAATGGTTTATCAGTGGAATGGAGAGTTTTGCAGCTCCCGCAAATATTGACGCAAATTGTACCCCTCCTCAAATTCCTCAATTGACTGTGTCCTCTGAAATAGCAAGTCAAGCGAGATCTAACTACCTGGGCCCCTTTTGCTGGATCGATTAATGATTCTCTACTGCAACATGAATCGTGTTCTTAATGATCATAAAAGTATTATGTTTAATAACTGACTTGCCAATTATGAATCCTGCAAAGGGAAGTAATCCACTTCCTGTCAGATAACTTCTGTTCTCAGCCAAATGTAGGCCAGATTCCATGAAATCAAGTTGAAATAGAAAAAAAAAATTGCATTAAAAAGCCTAAAGAACAAAACTAATTAAATGCAGTTTTATTCAATCTTGAGGTTTACATTTTTAAAATCTTTTTGTGTCTTTTTAAGAATAGCTTCTCTCTCTCTCTCTCTCTCTCTCTCTCTCTCTCTCTCTCTTTAGTCATCTATGGTAAAATAAGTAATTTAACAAAGAGAGTTACAGATTGTAACTCTTTCTTTTTATTATTATTTTATTTTATCATAGTAGCTATTTTAGTGTTGTGAAATACTAATATTGAGCTGCTTATCACTAAGACATTAAAAATATAAAGAAACAGTGATGTCATTTTTGTTTGATTGATGGTCAGTCTTATCTGCAACAGCCAATCACGGTGTTACTGAAAATAAGGTTTGGTAGCCAGGCATATATCTGATGAATACGTCAATGTTTGCATGCGAGGGTCCTGCACATTTTTCAAAGTTTGGCATTCTGTAATGTTGTTGTAATGTTATTTTACGGACAACGTGTTTCTCTGTGAAGTGATATAAGCTTTGTAGTGAGTGCCTCTATGAAGAGGAAAACACCCTAAAATCCCTAATACTTGGACAATCATTCTAATATTTTCAGAGGTTGATGTGAGCATTAAGTAAGTTGTCAACATAAACTTTGGTGAGCATCGATTGCAGTTCTGGCACATTACTCGACGTCTAGATTCCTACATTACGGGTTTACGCTGTGAGAAAGGACATACAGTGAGAAAGGACATACAGTATTACATTCGTGTTGGCAACTAAAGAGGCATTCGAGCTGTTTACAAGACTCCAAGGGAGCCATAAACTCTGGAAATCTAAAATGAATATAAATATTCTTTTCGATTCTGGAGCAGACAATTGTTGAACCGGGTCGGAGCAATATGTCAGCACATCCACTGTATTGCGTGTGGCTTGAATAGTCAATATAAATTTGGCAAATAATATCGTAAAGCTGAGCTTACGATATTACATATACATTATACAATTAAAAGCAATAATTCCACATTATGCTTGATGATACATATTCATATTCACAATTTGCTTCACTTTGCCACATCCAATATGGCCGCGGCGTCAACTTCCTCAAAAAGGTGTCTTTGTAGATGTAATGTAAATGTTATCTATGATAATATTTGCTTGTGGTTGTTGCAAAAGGCGCCATTCAAGATGGGATCAGCATTGCGATGCGAATGTATGTAGCAAAGTATGTGCTGTTGTCAAGTTGTACATTTAAGGATATTTCAAGGATATTCCCCCACCCCTCGTCAGTAATATTTGGCAATACAGTATGTATTGCTGCTTGAAAAAAAAAAAATGAATGCAAGTGGCCAAGGTGAGACAGGGACATTGTCAAAGGCAATCAAAATGATGACCAGTCCAACTGCCACTGTCTGGCCAAAAAGAAAAAGCCCGTCTCAAATATTAATGCAACCGTGGATTCCAGTTTGGGTAATATTATGATGTACTGTATGAGGCCTGAGTCCTCCCTTGTTTGAAAGCTATCTAGCTGTCTAGTTAGATAGCTAGAGAGGGAGAGAGGGAGGGGGGTATCTATCTATCCATCTATCCATCCATCCATCCATCCATCCATCCATCCATCCATCCATCCATCCATCCATCCATCCATCCATCCATCCATCCATCCATCCATCCGTCTGCACATCCACCTCACAATACAGAATTTGCGGGTTGGAATTCAGGCTGTAGCCTTTCTGTGTTGAATTTGAATGTTCTGCGCGTGCCTGTGTGACTTTTCTCCAGTTACTGCGGTTTCCTCCCACATTCCCCAAAAATGTATGTTAGGTTACTTGTAGACTATAAATTCTTCCTCGTGTGAATGTGAGTGTGCATGATTGTTTGTCATATTTTGCGGGGGCAATCATGTACTGTATATGCAGTAATATGACAAGTTGATTATACGTTGATTTGGTTTTTAGAGTCCTACTGTCTACCCTCCATAAAAATGAATTTGACACCTCTGACAAGAAATTGACAACATTCCCTCATTTCTCACACAAAGCTTTCAAATGCACACTTTTAAGTGAAGAAACTCCATTTATTTTACATCATTGAGTCAAATGTCATCAAGAAACCCCTACCAGCAGCTGAGCAGGCAACAGGTCCGCATATCTGTCATCATGATATGTCACGCATGCCCACACAACATACAGGAGCTCTAATGTTTCTAGATGAAGGCACATAAACCCAATGAAGGTCACAGTAAGGCAAATTCACAGCACTACAGGGAAAGTGTAGATATTTGCAAAGGAAAAGCTCAAGACGTTGACCAGTCTGCCACGTGACTGATGCTCCGTCTAGAACCATCCAGTCCTGTGTTGTCTGAAGGGTGGAGTGAGGTTGGCTGAGAATAGACAACGATTTCCTCTACAGTGCTAATAAATGTCCAGTTCCAATGTGACCTTCTCCTATTCAGACAGGTCATGAGAGTCTAGCAGCACTAAAAGACAGAGAACGAGTCCTTTCTTGTTCTTTAATCCTTATTTGGTTCCTTCAGCTCCATCAGCCAACCTTTGGACAGGATTCTTGACAGACATTCTTAATCATTTGTCATTCCGAGACATGAAATGGAGAGTAAACGTGTTTCGTTCTCTCAGACTTTGGCACCAAACAGTAAGCCATCATTCAACAGCAGCAACAACAACAGCTGTACAAACTCTGAATGATGGCTTTGCATCATTAAGAAACAGTAACACCATAATACAAATCAATTTGCCGTCCCCTATGTGGCTTCTCAAACCGATATGTGCACAGCAGCATCATGTCTTAAATTCACTGTCTGATTGGATTTGATTGGCTCACACAATCCACATGATAGTTTCACACCAATACCCTGTATCCAATCACATACTTATTCTTGTGCAGGACGACTCTGCCGTGCAGATGTGCAATTGCTTTTGCCATTCGGAGATCACTTAAGGAAACTTGTCCCTGAGTCTACATTGGAATAATACCGCTGTGTACCACAAAACCTCTCGCGTGTCCTCCTTTCGCCGTGGGCGCCTGCACATATTCGGCTTTCGGGTGAGGGTTAAAGGGAGCTTCAGCCATTTCCGTGCCATTTGATGAGCTGAAGGAGAATATGACGCAGCATTTGCCTCACACTCACTCCCACAATACCATGTAGACGCAGTAGAAACCAGCCTAGGCTGACTGAAGAACAAACACTATGAGCAACGTACGTACACTACAGTATATTGCCAAAAGTATTTGCACACCTGCCTTGACTTGCATATGAACTTACAGTGAGTGACATACCATTCCAAATCCATATGGTTCAGTCCGATGTCGGGCCTCCCTTTTATATAGCAGCTTCACTGCTTCTTGTATTATTTGGCATTTGACTCAGCATGACTCGGACTTGATCTTAGTTTGGTGCTTTCTACCATCTTTGTTACTGATTTATTGCTTTATTGTTGTACGTATATATGATAGTTGCTCCATGTACAGCACTTTGTATACAGCGATGGCTGTTTTAAAGTGCTCTATAAATACAGTTGAGTTGAGTTGAGTTGAGAATTCATCCAAACCAGATTTTCTCATCAATGTCTTAAGGTAGAAAGTAATTTTGGAACATGAAGGCACCATCCCCAAACTGTTCGCACATAATTGGAGTTCCTTTCACTGGAACTAGGTGGACAATATTTTCGATAATGACGTCCAACATCAGTGTGTGACCTCAGAAATGTGCACCATGAAAAAAAAATAGTCAAGCGCATATCTGAACTTTGGGGAAAAGCTTCCCATGAGAGATGTAGCTGTTAGAGCTGCACAATGAGGCGCAACGTCACATTAAAGCCCATGGATTAAGAAGGGGATGCCGCAAAAGATCAAATGCATGTCAAGGCAGGTGACCAAATACTTTTGTCTTCATTGGGCCTTCACTGACATGTTGGTTCCAAACTTCTACAAATGCTCAAAGGTTAACACTTTGGATGGGAATGAACGAACAGAATGTAAAGTTTGCAAAATTGCAGGTTTGTTGAGAACATAAAATAATTAGAAAGAAGCATCATTCTGTCGCATAGTCTTTAAAACAACCAAATCTCACTTTTTAACCTGACACGTATACACACATTTTACTGCAGGCCGATGTAGACCACACCTCCCACATGCACGGATAATCTGCAAAACAACATAATGTTGACTCTGAAACTAAATATGAACTACTGTACCGAAGTGATCCCCATGGAAAGTATTCACCTTCGGATATCAACCAAATTCTCTTTAGTTGCACTTGATTGAAACCTAAGTTTCCAGCTCTAGTCAAGTAAGCAACAATGACCTGTGTTTCTGTTTGTATGGGTGTTCCATCAGTGACTTACTGAATGCATGTGAAAGCCTAAAATAATCAAGGTTTTTGAGGACATCTATGGATGTCTGTCCCCCTGTGTTAAGTCAAGGCATACTCAAACGTCCCTTTCTCCAGCCCTTCGATGCCGTCTGCCCAGTTAGAGGACGGCATGCTGCTGTAGGGGTCCAGTAGGATCCTAAAACACCTCACTATCAGCAGTCCCAGGAACACGAGGAGCATCCCCACAAAGGCAAACGCCGTCTTCTGTTCCAGAGTCAGAGAGTGCGCCATCATGTCGTTTCCGCTCATGGCAGCCAGGGAGTGGTTGTAGTGGACGCTACACATTGTAAATCAACTTCTAGGTGCCTCATCTCTCCTCTGACTGGGTCACTGCTTGCATGTTACCTAGACAAAGATGATGTGATGCCTTCAGATTGGGTCTGTAAAATCAATTGAAACAATCTGTAACACTGCTAATCCACTGACGAACCAAGAAGAAATAAAGTCACGGGTAGGCAAAATGTTCAATTTAGATAATTTGCGATGCACACAAGAACTCACCGTGACTCATGAAGGGTGAAGAAATCTATAAATAGCTTCGTTCAGTTATGCTAAGAGTCAAACTTCGATCTCTCCATCTTGGCACAATGTTGCAGAGATTGAGATCAAGAAAACAGCAAAGGCGGGGGTTCATGAAGTCAGTAATAAGAGGACATCTTGCCGAAAGCATGACCATACAGCTTCTGAGTTAGAATTCCAGGGTGTCGCAGTGCTTATCGTCAGATATTAAACACATGCTCAGCAATAACAATGAAAACATTGCATCGCATTCAGGCATGACACTATGGATTGTATGTTAGTTTCGGGAAACCAAATGGCTTTCGACCTGTTGCATGGGAGCATATGTCTGCCAGACAGTGTAATTCCATGAGACATAAAACGGTGAATGCCCACATTTACTGCAAGTTCGCCTCTGTCAGTCGTTGGTCCACAAATCTTTTCAAGCAGCAGGTGGCTCAAGAGAATGGGCGAGCGAATGGAATAGATGGTGGAATGAATTGACAGACACAAGAGAGGGAAGTAGGATGATTAGTGAGATACAGGTATGCACGATGAGAGTGAAAGACAGAGACTGCACTTGCAGGTGGGTGTCCTGAGAGGGAAAGCAGGCATCTTACCGTCATTATGGTGCCATTCACAGACCTGTTGATAGCACATCTTCTGCAGAGGTCCTCCCTCTCAGACGCCGCACAAATATGTCCATGAAACCTACCACTATTAGCATGTTTGAAGGCTAGTTTCTTACCAAAACAAAAATCCAAAAAGGAAGGAGGCAATAGAGGAGCGGCGAGTAGGGTAGGGGGAGCTCAACCCGAGATACGTCTCTTCTCAGGGATGCTACTGCTCATCCTCGTGCCGCCTTACTTGCTGCCTCCTGCTCATTATCATTCTGTTTCTCGATTTCTTATCTCTCCCAATCGCAACGCACACGCTCCTGCTGCATGGCAACCACTTGTTAGTCTCACTCAGCTGCCCTGCTGCCTCACTCATTCACAACATTCCTGCTTCGGCAGCGCAAGGATGGCCGCAGCGGCACATAAACAAGCGATCTTCTGTCTCCTCCCTTTGCATCTTTGCAGCCTGGGTGTGTTTGTGTTCTCCCCTCAAAGTGACAACACCGGAATGAGAGTGGAAAGTCACGGTTTAGTCTGCAGGAGAAATGCTGCCTCTCATTGTGCCTGGCGAGTAAATACTGCAAAGGTATCACAACAGCATCATTCATCAAGCCGTGTTTGTTTATAACTGATTATAATGATGATGCTCTCAGACAATGAGGCAGATGAGCACACGATGAAAGAGAGTGGTTTTACTGTAGTGAAGAAAGCACAGAAAACTTGCAGTTTATCTGGCCATAGCATTCAGTATGGAAGCCGCCATCTGTTATGCTGTTATGCAGTACAAGTTTATATCAGCTATGAGGCTTTTTTGTCATAGTGGTGCAGTGACTCAGATCTGAGGATAAGGAATTCCATGTGGGAAATGGTCATTGTTTTTGTGTGTGTAATAAATTAGAGTCTACAAGTGGCAAACTGCAAGCTCCATTTTCCATTTTGAAATGTACACAAAAGAAAGGGAAAAATGCAACAAAAAAAAAGATTCAATTTCTCAGTAGTGCAAACTTGAAATAAATTCACCAAAATCATCAGTTTCATAACTATAATTAGTGAACAATTCTCCTAAAAAAAGACTTTGCGCTGTTCATTTTGTACTCCCTGTTGAGGTTTATTATCAAAGTAAACATAAAACAAAGAGAATTATACATTTTGTATTTGAAACAACCAAATCATTTTTGCTAGCTTAATGCTAACATGTCATTGGAAACCTCATAGACAGGCTTGTGAATATCATGTAGAATCAAGGTGGTTGTGTTAAAACACCGTGACGCAACACTTGTTGACGCACAATACCGTATATCAATACTCATAGGCACATAGGCTTTATTCTCTGCGAAGGATGCTTTATATTCATCAGGATTACTGAGGAATAGAGAAATTCACTGAGGAAGGAGAAGGCTGTTTGTACTGTATAGCTGTTGTATGTCTGTATTATACTGCCCCTGGTGGCCTAGGTGCAGAAGACCAGAAGTACAAGCACTAAAGGGCCTAATTTTCCCTCTTAAGCATTTCAAGGTCAATGGTTTTCATCACCGTGACCTTTTACTCGGCAATGCGTTATAATTTAATGACGTCCAATACAGCAGATGACAAATCCGATATGATTAGAAGATCTTTAAAACATGCATAGCTGGATCTAATGTTCATTTTATTCTATATCTTATGCAATTCTTTCACTTGTGTGACTGAAATCTAAACCTGTTGCATAAAGACTGTCCTGTGTCCATAGGACACAAGGATAACGATTATTAGACTTTTATCTCAGGGTCAGTGCACAGTATACCTTTAATGCTAATGAGTGAAGTTCACACCGCTTTTACAGTGTCGTAATCTCCCCCGAAGAGTTCAAAGACAGAAGTGTTAATGGAAATCTACAGTAATTGACAGTAGCAATTATTAATCCCTTTTAAGTAACAGAGCTACATTGCAATACATGGCCCATTTTTTTTTTTTTTTAATTTCAGTTCAAATTTAGCTGTGTCTTTGTCTATAGTGAGGTTATAAAAATGCCAATCTGAAGTTCTCATAAGGTTATTACAAAAATCAATTTACCCGATAATGATGGATGGTTGGTAAACTAAGGCCACAGAATTTATCATAACTTCAAAAGAAAAAACAAATTGCATTTTTTGAGTGTTTCTGTTTCTCAGAACTTAATTAGACTCCTCAATTTTATGAATGCGTGTATATTGCCAAGTCAACAAACGATGCATTCATTGACCTGGTTTTGTTTACTTTACAGGTTAATGTAAGTGTTATGTTAAAGGTTAATTACTTTGCAACTTCTATGCGCTGTCACAGGTCAACTTGAGACATGGTAATAAAATGAAGTCAGAGCAATCCATTCTCAGTAAGTGACTAAGAACAATGCGTTCTCAAATAAAGTTCAATTATAATTTGAATTATAGCTGCAGAGACCTTGACACATGTAAATGGATGTTTTACAATATGAGATTGTATTCAGGAATCCAAGAATCATCCTGACGATACACAATTATCATTTCTGGGACAGGATTAACTACAACACTGAAAGCCTGACCGAAAGAATGGAAACTGTGCTGCATAAGGGGAAACCAAGTTTATAGTTTCTTCCTTAGATGTTCATGGTGCGGTGCCTCAATTATTTTATCCATATAGTTTCATTGTATTCATTTGCAAAATACGTAATACGTATTTTGCGTATTTTGCGTAATACAAATATGTATTACGTATATAAATACATTTAGAGGCCCAGCTGCGTGCTGACTAATGGTTGCTATGTATTTTTGAAATTGTCTTACCTGGTTCAACAAAGGAACTTGTTTTGATTTTGATCTTTTTCAACATACATGCAACCCTGTTACTAAATCCTTTTAAGCCATCTAGAGGAGGAGTAAAAAAAGAGAGAGACATGACTCAGCAAAAATGACATCTTCAAACTACCGTAATTGCTTGGACCATGATAAGAATTAAGGTAAATCCTTTCTTCTATTTTTTTAATAGTTTTTCAGTGTCTTCACCTTAATTTAATGTGTTACTTAAACGCAACACTATTTGTCGTCATATGATAAGACATTAATATGAAGGTTTTTCTTCCTTTTTTGTTTGTTTTTGTTTTAATTATATACAGTAGTAGCTAATTATGTTTTGGACTTCTGAGCACAGCAGCTAACACAGGTAGCATTTAGCTACTCCCCCCCAAAAAAACACATTTCTAGCCCATTTTTGGGGGTGCTGAAGCACCCTTAAAATGAATACCAACACCACTAAATTTGAAGGTTCAAAAATTATGTAGTAACTACTTGTCTTAAACCAAGATATGTGGCACCTTTCTTAATTTCAACCACGCATTACCAACATAATCCTACTGTTAAAGGTCCTCACTTTTGCAGCATTTAATCCTAGGTAACTGTTGATGTTGTTAATTAGGAGTTAGCTGGCGTCTTTGTGCATCACATTCCATGTAGAGGTATCATTGTATCTCAATTTTTAAAAAATTAATGAGCTGTCTTCCCACAGCTCTTTAAATAAACTTGATCGGAGAGTTTAATCAATGGCCTTCGAATACTGTGTTACGCTTTTCTTTCACAAATACCGTCTGGGAATGAAGTTGTGTTAAAATGTACAAAACAATGAAATTTGTCTTGCCTGACCGAGAGCTCAGCACCTGTAAACTGCTAAGCCAAAAATCACCCGTGACTATCATTAGCATTTATTTTTCCTCATGTTACTGTATTTACCTCATAACCCTCGTGAGGATAAGGAGTTTGGAAAATGCATGCATGGATGGATTTTTCAGGTGCCCATGTACCTATAACTGTGTTTGTCAGACACACCAAACTATATGGTATATCAAATACTGTAAAATGTCTTCTAAAAATTGTACAGTTTATACTTGCGCTCAATGAATCATATGATTATTTTTGATGATTTTTAAAAAATGGCCAAGATTTAAAAAAGTGTTGATGCACGAAGTGTCCTCCAATTCTGGAATGACCCATGGATGTCCATTTTTGAAACTGTGTCAAACATTGACAAACATGTGTATTTGCAAATTGGACGAATTTTTAAAAAAATCTTTATTGATCCAGATAAGGCCATTGAGAACACATAATCTTTTGCGATGGCAACCCGGCTGCAGACATTAGAGCAAGAGAAGGCAAAATAAGAGCAAACACAAATTGTCATATACTGTACAACAAACTACACACTAGAATGTAAACAATCTATACATAAAAATTATATATATATTAAAAACAAGAATAATATGTACACTCATCTCTTCTACTGTATTTCTTCGTCATCCTCAAGAATTCCTCCACACCGCGTGGCAACGGTCTCTGACACTCGCGACATCCCCAAGTCTCGCGAGATGGAGCGGGTTTGCAAGTGCGTCAAGGCATCTTGTGTCGTCTAAGGAACAGCGCCACAATCATGGAAGATATCCCGTGTCTTGATGAAGAGCCAAAGCTAGAGGAGCCTACTGCATCCGTCAAATCGGACACTAGCGAGCCTGGTCCCGAGACACCCAATGGCGTAAAGACGTGAGTGAAAGACCGACCTATAGCGCTCTTCACCGAATGTATGAAGCTAAGCTAAAATGGAGTCTCTGTGATGCTAACCATTGTTAGCTGAGACGGTCCGTTACTTAGTGATGCTGTGTAATCTGCCGTTCGTAAAATCGCAAATGTTTATTTTTTTTATTCCTGACTGCAATTGATCTTTTAAAAGTATGCATGGATATATTTACACTGGCTTGAACGCTAGGCATGGTAGATCAGGTCAACGGCCAACCAAATGTTAGCAAATGCGCATGTTTTCAAATTTAGCGCTCGTTAAATCCTTTTGCGGAATAAACACTCGGTCCTTAAATTAATTACGGGTCTTTAATTCCGAAACTATGTCCACGCCAATCTTGGTTGATCATCACATAAAGTAATTTTAGTTTAGGAACATTAAGTAAAGATTCTATATTGGTAAACGTAAATAAGTCAAGGAAGAAACCTTGTGAAGCGATCACAGATGGAGGAATACCCCCCAACCCTCTCCTCGGACCATATGAACAGTAAATGATGTTGGTTTCATTGACTGACACTGCTGCTTTAATTGTATATATCGTCTTTTATTGTATATATCGTCTATATGTTTATACTGTTTCAGACTACGTTGTCTTTCACTGGTTGCTGAGGATTGAGAGAAATAAATTTCATCCATGCTACATGTCAATGTATGCATATTTGACAATAAAGTTGAACCTTGAACCTTGAGGGTCCATTTGATGATTCCAAATGACCCCGGTCAGTCGATACAGAATTCCCCACAGGAACAGCAGCAACCCATGTTCAATTAGCCCCCTGTACGAGCGAGAGGGCGCCAGTAGAGAACAGTCAACTTTAGGTATTTATTAGTTTGAGTCATTGTTGTTGTTTTTTTTTTTGTTTTTGTTTTTTTATGAAGTAAACTATCTCTTTATTGTAAATGGTGATATAAAAACATAGTAACATAAAAAAAGCAAATCAACTATAAAGTGTACGATGCGAATATCTCTCTCTCTCTCTTTCTCTCTCTCTCTCTCTCTCTCTCTCTCTCTCTCTCTCTCTCTCTCTCTCTCTCTCTCTCTCTCTCTGTCTCTCTCTCTCTCTCTCTTTCTCTCTCTCACACACACACACACACCCATATGAGCTGTGACTCCAGCTCTATTTGGCATTGTCCAAAGCCCCGTTCACACGGCACACATTTGGTCCGACGCAGCTCCGAAATATTTTGTTGCGATGTATTGTACACCGGAGCAAATTTTGTGGAGCGTTCACACGTGCAAAGCCGCTGAGCGTGACAACTCCGGCGCAGCGTCGAAGCAGCGAACTTGCGGTCACACGT